AACAGAGTAAGAAACGATGATCAGTATTTCTGTAGGATTTTCTGCCTCAAAGTAAATTTAATGTCCAGTAATAATCATAATAATATAATCTTTAAAGAATGAAAAATAATAGATTTTCTATTTAATTTATAAATACTTATATGCTTTTCTGGAAAATATGCTTAGATTTATTATATGTGTTTATAAAAATGATCAAATTCATTAGATGTAATAAAGATACTTTCGATTCATTTGTATATATTCAAAAAATATTTATTTCTTTATTAGGATTTTTTTAGAATCATGTCAATAAACTATTTATTTATTTTTTACAATATTTAATAAAATTTCTTTAATAAATATATATGGAATAATTAGTATTTTCTTATTAATCATAAAACTATCACATAAGTTACAATTTAGTTTGTTAACGATGATTTAATTTCAAGCCATTCAAACCTTGAAGGGCTTCCCGCCCTTTCATAAAGTAGTTCGAGCATGTGCTCACAGATCGAGCCACTTACTTGATGGGCTCAATTAAGTTCGATAAATAACGAAATCTTCGTTTGCTCTCAAGAAATATGTTATACAAATTGGAATATATTACGAATTATTTTTAAATTATTAGCAAATTACCAAAAATTTTACTTGAATTGATCAAAAACTCTACTTCTCAATTCATAATTTCTACTACTTGTTCGAATTCCAAAAAATAAAATACTTACGGAACAGTGTAATCGATATTATGGTGTCAATGTATTGATTAATCTGTTTGTTTGATGCAATGTAATTTGTAAAATTAAAATTAATGATCGAGCTATAATAATCATTTTTTAAATTAATTGTTGAGGGAAATACATTTTTTCATTGATTTACTGTCTACATTAAAATGTTAATATTCTCTCAGAGAATTATTAAACGTTTATATCATCATCACAAGATAGTTGCGATAATACGTAAAATACAGTTGAACTTTAGAGTTAATTTAAGACAGAAAAATGAGAAAGATACATGTCTGTCAAGTTACATAGAAATAATAAATAGAATGTATTGATTTTAAGTGTTTATTATTTTATTAATACGCATTACAATTTTTTTAAATATAATTTTTGAAAATAATGATATTAAATGATATAAGAAGGAGTTAGTCGAGGGTGCGGTCAAATAAATAAAAAAATTAAAATATATAAATAATTTCAATGGCAAAATTAAAATTATTTATATATTTTAATTTTTTTATTTATTTGACCGCACCCTCGACTAACTCCTTCTCATATCATATCAACGGTCAACCATCTCTACATCATTAAATGATATAGTTGTGAAACAATATTAATTTAAATTTTTTGTTTTGTCTTTTTTTACATTCCATTTTTTATGAGTAATGATGATTAGTTCCGCAGTAAATTTGAATCTATATCCACAAAATCGAAAGGTAATTTATTCACTAATATCCCTCACAATAAATGTTTTATTTTTAATTTTTTGATCATATATATAATTAAATTTATGTAATGATTATTATTATACTAGCTCATTATTAGTTTACTTATTGTATTATGTTACTGAAATGCTAATATCACTGTGATAATAGTGAATTTGAAAATATTTGTTTGTATGAAACAGAGGCATAGTTATAGCACAGTTTTGAAGATAGGAAATGAAATTTTAAAACAATTTGTACCATTACATCCCTCAGTAATAATGTTGGTTTCAGTACTTGGTAAAGAATTATAGTCTTTTAACTTAAAAGAGTCCGAATCGATCCATAGCTGATAAAGTTGAAAAAATGATTTACTTACCACAACCGAACTCAAACCCGGACCTAGGAGATTTGTGTCTTATAAATTATCGATGGAGTGAGGTATTTGTGAATATAATATTAACAGGAAAGATATAAAACAAAAATACGTTTTAATATTACCAAAATTATCTTTTTATTCGTCAATTTTTATAAAAATATATAAACAAGGATAGTAAGATTTCAAATGTACAATAAAAATTTAAATTACTTTCACAATTTATACAATGTTTAAATATTTACATTATTTAACATATACAATGATTAAGAATGTATTCAACACAACGATTCGATCTAAATTATAACCGATTGAAAATATAAATTAAAAAAAAAAATAAGAGATCTCTTAAACAATAAATTATAAGAAAATAAATATAATGATACATGTCAAGCATTTTAAAACTCTTTGGCAATACACGTTCAGCCTTACATAAATATAAGGAACTATCTATTTTTGTTTATTTATTATTAATTTATTTATTTAACTAACTGCAGCTTGACTAGAGGGTCACACAGGGTGTTTAAGTAATCTAACTGAAAATATGAAATAAAGATCAAATGGCATTATTATTATTATTGTTTCGCAAGTTTTATTTAACCATCTTCGTAACGAATTTTGGAAATTGGCTACGCTTGTATAGAATTTTTGTGTGCAAAAAAAATACTTTGCTGTCAGATCGGCATATTCACCATTTTTATAAATGCAAGGCATAATGATGAGCGTACAAGGGTCAAACAAACTGATAAATATTATTAACAGTACTAATTCAAAACAGTATTAATTCTTAGATTGTTAATATTTTGTGTACAGTTAGTGAAACTATATCATGTTAATATCCTACATTATTACATTATTTATTTAATATCTCCTTAACAAAACGTTAATGGGCATACCTTCATAGAAATTTTTTTCTTTTAGATCCTTAATCTATATATTGACAGAATTAAAATCTGTATCTCAGAAAGTTTTTAAACATGATGAATGTGAATATTCGCGCAAAAAAAAATATAATAAGCTAATACATATACATTAATAAAATAATAGTAAGAACGAAATATTTAAACTCATTCAAACAAACAAAGACAAATACAAAAAAGTAATGTCAAGCTGAAAATGTGAACACTACAAGGATTTTTCTAAATACTACAACTAAATTATTATATTAATATTGTCAACTCTATTTATATGGGGACTTTTCCAGAAAAGAAATAAAATAAAATATTAAAGCTAACTGGTCATATTGATGTAATTTTAAAAATAAATGAAGAGTTACATATCACAAACGCGTTAATGTCTTCATAGAATTTTTATTGTCTAGAGATACTTAATCTATTAGTCCGTGGTACAGATCCCATTTTATTAAATTATTTTAACATCCACTTGAATCTTCGTAAATAGCTTCATCTCATCGTAACCTACAACTATTTACGAAACTCTTGGTATTTTTGTAAATACCCATTTGCTATCCATTTGGGTCGTAAGATAAAATCGAGAAAAAAGGTGGCAGTAACGAGGTTATATATATATATATATATATATATATATATATATATATATGTATATAAATCATTCCGACGTTCTGAGATGCCAGAGGCCGCCCGGAGGCTACAAGAGGACATCGACTGCATCAACAGATGGGCAGAAATAAATGAATTAAAGCTGAATGCAGATAAAACCAAGGCTATTATCATCGGGTCCAGAAATCTCATCAGCTCCCTTCCTTTCTTTCCTCTACTTAACCTCAATAACCGTCCCATCCATTTTTTCCCTACAGTCAAAAACCTAGGAGTAACCTTTGACCAGAACCTTTCCTGGAATAACCATATCTCCCAGATTACCCGAAAATCCATAACTGTCTTTAAGCAACTCCTAATATTCCTTTTATTGTATTCTTCTAAAAACTAGACAGCTCCTTGTAACCTCCCTTGTATTCCCCCACTTCGACTACGGCTGTTTGGTGTATGGAGGGCTATCTGCCAGGCTGGAAATGAGACTAAAGAGACTCATGAATTGTTTCATAAGATTCATTTTCGGGATCCCCAGGCGTTCACATGTTTCACTCTGGTACACCGTACACAGTTGAAGTGGCTTTATCCTACTTTCCGACGACAATTCCTCCTTGGTGTTTTCCTTTTCCAAGTCTTCAGAACCAAAAACCCTCCTGGAACTCCTCACCTACAACCTCCTACATCCTGGAACTCCTTACTCTGCGCTCCTATATCCAGTCTATCAATACTAGGTCTCAACCTATAGACTTATATATTCCCTCCCATAAAACTTCCTCCTTCAGCAAATCCTTCGTCATTCGTGCTGCTTCCTTATGGAACTCACTTCCTACCTCCATGCGTCAATCCTCGTCCACAAATCCCTTCAAACAACTCCTGTTCCACCACCTACTTCACATTCAAACTCCCCCTAACATGTAAAATTACTTGAATCTATGCAATGTTTAATTTCGATCCAATGCACAATTGAAATAACAATCAACAGTAAATTAGTTTGTATTTTTTATTATTCTAAGTCAGGCTAAGATCCATAAATCTGTAACTCTGTTATTATTCTCAGGGGACAGTGGTCCCAGAATAAAATTATATTTTCATTTAATTTCATATACGCCAAACGGCTCAATATTTTTTAGGCCACCTCTCAATTTTGTGATAAAATTATCTTACAAGTTTTTAGTACCTAATCAAATACGCAATTATAGATTCGATCTCCAGGTTAAAAACGCCCCAATACCGAGAATGTTGGTGAATAAAATATTTGTATGCTATGATGAGAATAAAGCTATCTACGAAGTTTCATGAGGGTGTTAATAATTTGACAAAAATGATTCTGTACAACGGACTATATTATGAGTTAAGAAACTAATTCTGAAACACCCTGTATATATACAAAGTAGTATATACAACATATATATATATATAGTATAGATGGACTTTACTATTCATCGATTTAACTAGTAGTATATACAACATATATATATATATTGTATAGATGGACTTACTATTCTTCGATTTAACTAGTAGTATATACAACATATATATATATATATATATATATATATATATATATATATAAATATTATATATACATATATATATAAGTATACATTATATATACAATATATATATATATATATATATATATATATATATATATATATATATATATATATATATATATATATATATATATTATATATACATATATATAAGTATACATTATATATACACGTATACTATATATGTACAATATATATAGTATGGATGGACTTTACTATTCTTCGATTTAACTAAGTATCTCATCGATCGTGAATCCTCTCTTGGGCTGCTGTTGGTGGGTTACAATGTGCTTTGCCAGTTCTGATCTCAACATGAAGAGTCTGTTGCAGACCGGGCACTGATGAGGTTCTTCCTCCATGTGCATGATCTTGTGTACCGCTAGAGTTCTCGGCTGGCAGAAACCTTTACCGCATTTCACGCATTTGAATGGCTTTTCCTTGCTGTGGATATACCTATAAATAAGTTTATTAAAAAATAAAGTATGTAACTATTCATCTGTTCGCTATTTATGTGTAAAACTATTCAAAAAGATACATTCGCTACTTCATACCTATGATCTCTAAGATGATCCTGCCTCCTGAAAGCTTTTCCACAGATGTCGCAGGAGTACGGCCGTTCGTCCGTGTGCGTCCTCTCGTGGATGAGGAGGTTGTAAGACTTGGTGAACTGCCTGCTGCAGAACTTGCAGATGTACTGCTTCTTGGGTTTGGGTTTAGGCAGCAATAACGCTGCACGTGCGCCCAACAATCGCGATAAGACCAAATGGTGATTTTCCGGCAAACAATAATGTTCTTGAAAATATTGTTCTGGGCTTATCGACCTCGATGGACTAGATTCGTAAGAGTTTTGCTCGTGTGTCGGCGGTTCCATGTTTTTTTCTAAACCTGAAAAAAAAAAATTAATTTAATCTCAAAATACCTCTTGTTTATGAAATTTAAAATATGTAACACAGGTAATTTTTAATAACATTTAATGTGAATATTAAAAAAAAAAAAGATAATAAATAAAAAAGGAGAGGGCTCATATGCAAAATACAAGACCAAGACCGCCTGACTGTTGCAAGACATCGACCAAAACAGGTAAAAAAAAAATCGGTTTGTAAATAAAAATTAAGGCAAAATAGTTACTTGTAAAAACTTGACTATTTTAGTTACGATACGTAAAGAATTAGTATAACGAATATACTTTTGCATTTAACTCTTCCAATATTTCATTCGGGCTTAATTAGGTCCCCCCTATCTAAAAAATTACATATACATCTCTATAGTAATAGACTTGTGCACGACTGTTGAGACTCTTGCACAAGACCAAGACGAAGACTGAGTGAGCAAGAGCCAAGACTCGTCTTGGTCTCTCATTTGGGGAACACTAAGAATAGACACTATCTAACATTTTTGAAAAGCCTAGAAAAAAATAATTTTTGTGACAGAGCTCTAATTTATTAATATTTTTCATTATTCAACTTGAACGTTCTTAAATTTATATTAATAGTGAATGATCATAAAAATAAATAAAATAAAAAATACAAATACATTTATAAGGAATACAACTTTAATTAAAATGTGTCATTGACAATATTAAAGTATATGGCGTAGGTAATTTTAATAACATTTAATGTGAATATTAAAAAAAAATAAAAATAATAAATAAAAAAGGAGAGGGCTCATATGCAAAATGCAAGACCATGACCGCCTGACTGTTGCAAGACAACGACCAAGACAGGTAAAAAAAAAATCGGTTTGTAAATAAAAATTAAAACAAATGGTTACTTGTGAAAACTTGACTATTTTAGTTACGATACGTAAAGAATTGGTATAACCAATATACTTTCGCATTTAACTCTTCCAATATTTCATTCGGGCTTAATTAGGTCCCCCCTATCTAAAAAATTACATATACATCTCTATAGTAATAGACTTGTGCACGACTGTTGAGACTCTTGCACAAGACCAAGACGAAGACTGAGTGAGCAAGAGCCAAGACTCGTCTTGGTCTCTCATTTGGGGAACACTAAGAATAGACACTATCTAACATTTTTGAAAAGCCGAGAAAAAAATAATTTTTGTGACATAGCTCTAATTTATTAATATTTTTTATTATTCAACTTGAACGTTCTTAAATTTATATTAATAGTGAATGATCATAAAAATAAATAAAATAAAAAATACAAATACATTTATAAGGAATACAACTCATTGACAATATTAAAGTATATGGCGTAGGTAATTTTAATAACATTTAATGTGAATATTAAAAAAAAAAAAAAATATTAAATAAAAAAGGAGAGGGCTCATATGCAAAATGCAAGACCAAGACCGCCTGACTGTTACAAGACAACGACCAAGACAGGTAAAAAAAAAATCGGTTTGTAAATAAAAATTAAAACAAATAGTTACTTGTGAAAACTTGGCTATTTTAGTTATTATATGTAAGGAATTGGTATAACCAATATACTTTTGCATTTAACTCATAATTTTTTTCATTTGGACTTAGTTAGATCCCCGCTATCTAAAATGTTACAGTAATAATTCTATAGCTGAGAGATATCTGCAGGGCTGTTGCGGGACTCTTGCGCAAGTCCAAGACCAAGCCCAAGACCGGGTGCGCAAGACCAAGACACGTCTTGGTCTCGCATTTGTGCAACACTAAGAATAGCCGTATACTATAATTTTTGAAAAGCTGAGAAAAAAGTAATTTTTTTAAATAGCTCTAATTTATTAATGATTTCTTTTCATTTAATGAGTAATGTCCATAAAAATTAATAAGTTAAAAAAATACAAATACAAATACATTTATAAAGAATAAAACTTTAATTAAAATGTGTTTTTGACAATATTAAAGTATGTAGTATAGGCAATTTAAAAAAAAATATGGCTGCATATCTGTCTAAGATGCATGTCTATGCATATGTGTATGAGCACTCTCTCTCTCAATAGAGAGAATGCTCATACACATATGCATAGAAATGCATCTTTGATAGATATGCACCCATATTTTTTTTTTAAATTGCCTATACTACGTACTTTAACATTGTCAATAACACATTTTAATTAAAGTTATATATATATGAACAAATAAAAAAAAAAAAAAATAGATTCCAGTAAAGGTCAAAGAAAAATCATGGTATTGAAACAATAATAATATAAAACTTACACTATTTACAAGAATTTAACTAAATACTACAACTAATTTGACATATTAGTAGATAAAATTAACTAATAGTTTAAACTTAAAGAAGAGCTAAATAGCAAGAACGTGCTTTGAGAGACTGACTGCAGTACCAAACTGAAGGGGCACATGATTTCTGTCATAAGTGTTGAAAAAAGTCGAAGTATCTGAAGGTTTTTCTTTTCTATTTTCTTTAAATTTTTCTCAAGCTAGTATAACTAATACGCAGTTAATATTTTAAAAAAATGTTTGAAAAATATATACTTCATATAGTTCTCCTATGACTTTAATTTAACCCGACAAAAAAAAGTTAAATAAAATCTTATATATGAAATATTAAAAATAAATAAATATACCAGCTGTATGTAAACACTGTAGGAATTATTACGTTAGCTCTTCACAAATTCCATATCAAACTTAATCCTACTTTGTTTATTTATATTTATTTATTTGGCAGAAAATACGTGATGTTTTTTTCTTATTCACAATTCCATACATTGTGCTGCTACATTGCTAATACATTGTACCTTAAAATGGTGCTACCTTCACCATAAAAGAAACAAAAAACTAAGACTAAACAATAAAAATAAAAGCAAAACAAAATAAAAAATATGAAGATAAATCCTGGGTTAGAGTCCCCAGGTCTCACAAGCATCAAGATTTTCATCAAAAGCTATGCAGATATTTATACAATAACTTGCTGCTTCATAAATATTTTAAATATATATACAGACCCAAGCAAAATTTAATAAACATAAAATTAACAATTAATTTTACTTGATTAACAAAAAATATAAAAAATAAATAAATAAATGGACTTGCACATGCCCACTCATACATACACTTATATGCATACCTACTTACACCCGCATACAATTCCACAATATTCATAAAATAATACATAGTTAATAGCACACACATATATATATATTTTTTCTGTAATATATCTTATTTAAGCACAAAAGGGATTCAATATTGAACGTTTTATATCAAATCGGATTAAAATCTAAATTGTCATAGCATAAAAGTTTCTAAAAAAAAAATTCAGATTAGGGGTGAATGAATATAAGATTTCGCGTCCAACTAAAAAATAATCCATCAATTGTTTACACGTAACTATGACGACTTACCTGACCGTATGTGCTGCGACAGAATGCGTTCACGTTCCTCAAAATTAGTACCAAAAATCATGTTCCCAACTGATGCTATCAGGCCGGACTGTACATTACTCTGATCTAGGAAGGTCTACGTGGTTACAGGGTTGCGCATGCGCTCTACGGAACAATTTCATTGGCCCAGAGAAATTAAGTGGGGATGAAAAAATCCTTCTTGTCAAAACATCCCTTATCAGAGAGCAGTTGCCGTCCAATGATAATCCAAGGATTAATCCATACAATTCAGAAGATTATTATCAAGAAAATACATTTGCCTAAAAATAAAATCAACTTGTATAATTGATACAATTAAAATTTAATAATATTTAATTCAATAGTTTTATTTATTTATATTAGATGCCTTGTAGAACTTTTGCCGCCTTATCTGTATTTACCACTCCATCTATTGGATCTTTGTTGATTCGATCTATCCATCATGTTTTTGGCCTTCCACGTGATCTTTTGCCTTCTAGGGAGGCATTAATTATTTTGTAGAAGCTTCCAGATAAATTTCTGTTCAGATTAATGTTCATTTTGTTTCTCTTGTACACCTTGATATTGATAGAAATTAATGAATAAATAAATAGTTCAATTTATATTATATTAAAACAATCATTTATAGGAATAAATAAACAATCTAGTAAAGTGTTATTTTCTTGTGCTCTTATGTTGTATTTCTTGGTGTGGAGATGTATGGCGGATTCTGCTGTAGGAAATCTTCGTTTTATAGTGGAAATATAAACGTGTTCACATAGAAATTTTGAGAAGAAACTTGAAAGAAATTATGCAAAATTTGGACTAAAAGACAAATTACGTTTTGATAGGATAATGATAGGATTACAAACACACTGCCATGTTAGTTAAGGAATGCTTACTTTATAACTGCCACAAAGTTATAAAAACACCACCACATTCACCAGATGTTAATGTGATAGAAAACCTGTGGAAAAAATTGGAGATAGAAATTATAAAAAATATCTCCTCGAAGAATGGAACAAGAAGAATCCAGAACACCAAATAATTGACTCAATTGGAAACAGACTGAAAGGAGTAGAAAATAAATAACGGCTTCCTACAAGAGTGTTTAGTGTTGCCCAAAATCTGTTGCAAGACCATGAACAGGATTGGTAAAAAAAATCGATGTTTTAAATAAAAAGTAAGGCAAAATAGTTACTAATACTTGATAATCTTAGTTATTATATGTTAATAACTGGTATAACGAATATACTTTTGCATTAAACTCCTCTACTGTAATATCTCTATAGTAATACGCTAATAAGTAAATGCGAGACTGTTGCGAGACTCTGGCGCAAGACCAAGACTCTGACCAAAACTGAGTATGCAAGACCAAGCCTCGTCTCGGTCTCGCATTTGGGCAACACTAATTGGGAGAAGAAATAAGGGTATTATTAAGAACATAATCAATTAATGATTCACTATAATAATTATATATAATAAATCTTACTAAAAATATGAATAACCCTTATAAGGTTGTACATCATAAAAAAAATTTAGTAGCGGCACTGGCTCAGAGATCTTTTGTAGTATATATTTTGGAGTTCTATGGAAATGGCCAGATTCTCCATTCAAGACATGAGTGTATGTGGCTAAAGTGCTCTCGATCAATCTCCGCTTGGTTTAGCAGCAGTGACGCGGTTGAGAGAGTAGCGCAATGATCTCTTGGAATCCTGTTTTTCCTTCTATAGTTGAAGAGAGAAGCCTGGCTTGGGGTACCCTGCCTAATTTTATATATTTTATATAGGTATGACTGTGTTTTTATGTTTTTCAATTTACTTATCTTTAGGTTTTTATAGATTAAATAAGGTGTTATTGATCATAAAAGATATTTAGTATATGAGGTAAGACAGTCTATTTATTCTGAAGTTTGCAATATTTTTTTACCAAACCTAATTATGATATATTGTTACGTATGGGTAGACACCGTTTATTTTTCTATTCCATATTGTTCAGTTAATATAAAAAAAATATGTAATTTCATTAATATAATTTACAAATACACGTAAAATTCGCCAAGCTTCCTGAAGCCTGTGAGCTTATGGTAGAAAACATTTTGGTGACAGGAGTGAAAAATGTTTGGGAATTTACTATGGCATGCAGGTAGAGTGAGTGACTACCTGTCTTGAAATTATAGATCATGAAATGACAGGAAAATTTAGGATGAAAGTTCAATTGTGTAGGAGTCGTTGTAAAAACGCATTAGCAGTGAACATTTAGCTACCGTTGTAAAAAAAAATATTGTTTAGGTAGCAGTAGCTAAGGAACAAAGAAGCCGACGGTTTTTCAAAGTTTGTGTTACGTAGTACACAATTACAATTACGTACTCAAGTAACTTGTATAGATACGTGTTTAGTATACATATACATATATTTCTATATATGTGTGTGGTTATACTACAAAGCCCACATTTTAAATTATTGTAAAAGAATAAAATAATACTAAATTTATATTAAAATAATTGTAAATATAGATATCAAATAAATAGATATAAAGGATAATTCTTCATATAACAAAAATTATAATTAGTTTTATAGCAGTTATCTATTTGAAAATTTACACTTACACCTAGTGTTGCCCAAATGCGAGACCGAGACGAGTCTTGGTCTTGCAAATTCAGTGTTGGTCTAGGTCTTGGTCTTGCGCAAGACTCTCGTAACAGTCTTGCAGTTATCTATTAGCTTATTACTGGAGAGATATTAGTGTAATTTTTTAGATAGGTGAAACCTAACTAATGAAAAGTTAAAAGAGTTAAATGCAAAAGTACATTGGTTACACCAATTTTTTACATATGGTACCTAAAATTGTCAAGTATTAGTAACTATTTTGTCTCAATTTTTATTCATAAATCGTTTGTTTTTAACAGCCTTGGTCTTGGTCTTGGCGGTGTTGGTTTTGGTCTGGCAAAGTGCAAGACTAAGACCGATTTTGGGAAACACTACTCACAATGCTTTATTTGTATCTAGTATATTATTATATACATATAAATTTTTCTTTTTTATACAACGTTTCGGCCATTTCGGCTATTTTCAAATTTATTTATTCCACATTTTTACACCACCACATTTGTATAATTTTTACTTGTCAAATTTATTCAGACAAAATAAAACATTTCTTTTTGCCTGTTAAAAAGTTATTTATTGGTGGCTACACTTTTCTTTCTATAAAATAACAAAAAATATTGTATTACTTTTTACATTTTTTAAAAATGAGTCGTTAAAATAAATAACATTAATCTTTAAATAAACAATATTCAATTACCAACTTTATATAATATGTTTTATCTTTTTTAATTTTTAATTAGATCGACCATATAGGCAAATTTTTTTTATGAATAATGGATAAGTAAAGTCTGCCTATATGGTTGATTTATTTAACAATAAAAAAAAGAAAAAAACATATAATATAAAGTTGATAAATAAATATTGTTTATTTAAAGATTAATGTTATTTATTTTAACGATTAATTTTTATTAAACATAATAAAATAATGTTTTTCTTATAAATTACAAGAACAAAGTAAAAACTGAACAAATGTGGACAGGTGGGGTATATATGTGCAATAAATCAATTTGAAAATGGTCTAAAAGTAGTGATGCCCGAATGCGAGACCGAGGCGAGTCTTGGTCTTGCAAACTCAGTCATGGTCTTGCAAACTCAGTCTTGGTCTTGCAAACTCAGTCTTGGTCATAGTCCTGGTCATGGTCTTGCTCAAGATTGTCGCAACGAGAGATATTACTGTAATTTTTAGATAGGAGAAACATAACATAACAGAAGCCCGAATGAAAAATTAGAGGAATTAAATGCGAAAGTATATTGGTCATACAAATTATGAACACATAGTAACTAAGATTATCGAGTATTAGTAACTATTTCGCCTTAATTTTTATTTAAAAAGTCGATTCTTTTTACCAGTCCCCTGGTCTTGGTCTTGCAACAGTTAGGCGGCCCGATTTTGGGCAACACTATCCAAAAGGCCGAAACGTTATATAAAAAAGAAAAATTTATATGTATATAATATTGTATTGTATTAAATACAAATAAAGGATTATGAGAAGAAATAAGGGTCTTATTAAGAACATAATCAATTAAAGATTCACTATAATAATTATATATAATAAATCTTACTAAAAATATGAATAACCCTTATAAGGTTGTACATCATAAAAAATTTTTGGTAGCGGCACTGGCCCAGAGATCTTTCGTAGTATATATTTTGGAGTTCTATGGAAATGGCCAGATTCTCCATTCAAGACATGAGTGTATGTGGCTAAAGTGCTCTCTATCAATCTCCGCTTGGTTTAGCAGCAGTGACGCGGTTAAGATAGTAGCGCAATGATCTCTTGGAGTCCTATTTTTCCTTCTATAGTTGAAGGGAGAAGCCTGGCTTGGGGTACCCTGCCTAATTTTATATATTTTATATAGGTATGACTGTGTTTTTATGTTTTTCAATTTACTTATCTTTAGGTTGTTTTTTTTTGTACATAGTTTTTTACTATTATTTTACTTTTGTTAATTTTATATTTTCCGTATATATGGTGTGAATGTGTTCATATATCACTATAATAAATATAAAATATAAATAAATAAAAATAAAAAAAAGTATATGAAACAAGACAGTCTATTGTAGAGTCTCCAATATTTTTCTACCAGATCTAATTATGGTATATATTGTTATGTAGAGGCAGTCACCATTTATTTATCTATAGTGGATTGTTCGGTTAATATAACAAACTTATGTAATTTCATAAATATAACTTACAGATACAATAAAATTTGCTATGCTTTCTGGAGCCTAGAGACAGTAAATTCTTGGTGACATGGGCTAAAAATGAGACCTTACAGCAGAAGGCAGGTAGAGTGTCTACCTGTCTTGAAATTATAGATCATGAAGTGACAGTGAAATATTTCCGGGCCGGAGGGTGAGGGCGGGGGATTATTGCCATATTTAATAGCCTCCCTCTCGTAGATCCGCCTGTGTTGAAACATGACCAAAGGGCTCAGGGCTCTTTAGTTTACACTTTAATTTGTTACATGTATATATTGTATTGTTATGTATAC